TGGAAGAAAAAAAAAAGAAATTGAGCCGTAAAGCACTTGGAGCGGTCCATATATTAGCGTTGGGGCGCGCTCTAAAGCGTACCGATGATCGCGGCGATCGCCGCTGTTGTCGGGAAGTATGAACGCTGCCTTACTCGCACTATTTGAGTGGGGGGGGGAGGGACGGGCAGCCTGAAAGCTACCGTAGTTGAAAGGAGATCTAGTATACGTCCATGTAGTTGCAACAAATCTTTCCGAAGATTTCGGTTATCGAGTATCTCCTCATAGTTACTTCACTGATTTACAACGGCCTCACAAGGCTATCTGGGTGGTCGTGGATCAATTTTCTCCTCTTTGCGCGTTCGGGAAAGCTTTTGGCGAACACAGAGGCTATACTATACGATAGCTGGATGCCTGATGTAATTATCCATCTGAGTTCCACTGGATCTCATGGAGAGTTATTGAGGGGACTACGAATGCTATATCTGGATACTACGCAGTAGTGACAGCATTAGTCAATTCAAAAAAATCCGAAAGGTAGGCAGCGTCACTCTCGAGTTCATTTTGGAAAAGCGATTTCTTCTTGGTACATGAGAGCGAGCATTGCGCCCTGAGGTAAGAGTATGATACGCCAAAAGTTTAGGGTTCTCGAGAGTGGAAGCATGGCTGTCCCCGTCTTACACATCAGATTCAGCACTTTCTCACTGCTAACTGTAACTGCATCTTCCGGATGTCGTGAGGACTGTCGCATCACTTCTGGAAAAGCATGATCATGAGGCTGTCATCATTAGTATCCAGTATTAGTATAGTATTTAGGATCATCACTAGTATTTAGTATTTGTGCCCTACTGATCGGCACAGGTCCTCGATACTAATGAAGATTACCTTGTCTCTGTCTGTCTCGAAGGCTTTATTCTACAAGTGCATATCCAGTCTGAAATCTCGTTTGCAGTGTCGCTGAACTTTTCGTTCAACCTAACTGAACCAACAAAAGCAACGCCGACGTAACATTAGAAAAAAGAAAAAAACTAGCTTCCACGAAATATCATATGAGATAAATAATGAATAGTTATAGAGCTTCATATAATACTGCAGACTAATCAGAAGCCTGGACAATTAATGAAACCTATCAACCTAGTTAAGTAATCCGTACCTGGCTGTCTGCCAGAAAGTGAAGCTAAACAACTGATACTGCGCACTTTTATCACGACACAGGCAAAACAAAAGCGAATGTAATTCAACATCTAATTCAATTTCAATGTTCAGGATAGCAAGATATTCAGCGGCACTCCTCGACAAAATCTGTTAAGAACTGCTTAGAAAGTTATTTTAAAAAAAAAGTAGCAATATGGAAGTGGTCGTACATTTACAATCAATATTGTAGAATATGCTACCATAAGAAAGGTTTAGGGTATTACAGAATCGGGTTGACCCATAACTGAGGCCACCGTTTTTATTCCCTAACTTGGAAATCCTTTACTTAAATGCTAGAAGTTTCATCACAGGGTTCCACACTGTTTGGCAGAGTGTTTGGCTCTATAAGATGGTGCGCTCGATTTTTCTGAGGAATCTCTGCCTATCACTTTCCAGGTGCTTGAAATATAGTGTCAAGTCGATGAGACTGAGCGTTTTTGGGAACCTCTCCTTTTCCATTGGATCAAGCCGCGGACGTCTTCGACGTTCTTAGTGAACACTACCTTCGCTTGATGGGAGAAGTTCGAAACTCGGTGGACGGGTTTCAGTGGGTAGTCGAATCCCAAGAGGACGCCGCTTGCGCATCAGCATCATTCAGGATCGTACTGAATACTTCGATTCTAACTTCAACCCGTTGTAAGACGGCATCGTTCCTTGCTCATATACACCACAGACTTTTGAGCTCATTCTGCAGTTTTATGGTTAGAGCCAAAGTGTAGTGCGGAAGGTGCTGACAAAACACTCTCTTTCGAATCGACAAGACACTCCGCTCTAATGGACAGAAAACTGGCGGAAAAGCAGTTTCTCTCACATATTCTCCAGCTAATCTCTTGCTGTAACCTCGGCATTATTGTATAATTCGTTAATATTGCTGTGCCTCTCGAGGTTTTCACGGTGGAATATTTATTTAGCGGCCTAACGTTTCGACATGGTCGTCTTCCTCAGAGGCCTAAACGCGTTTCGATTTAACGAGATGAACACTACCCCGCCAAGAGCCTAACCAACTCTAGCAGTTCCGATGATGTGACGGCGGATTTGCGGTGGAACCCTGGTGAGTGCGCTTTTCGAATTCTGTAGAATTTTCTTGTTGAGTTCCGAACACATCATCGGAACTGCTAGGGTTGGTTGGGCGCTTGGCGGGGTAGTGTTCATCTCCTTAACTCGAAACGCGTTTAGGCCTCTGAAGAAGACGACCACGTCGAAACGTTAGGCCGCTAAATAAATATTCCACCTGGAAAACCTCGAGAGCCACAGCAATATTAACGAATCAGTTTCTCTCACAGTTTTCTCGAATAAGTTCCCAGTTCCAAAGTTCTATACTCATCTCAGGGCACGCTTTTTGTTCGAGACGCTTGGTATGCCATTTTTTTCTTATTTTTAGATCAATGCTCCTCTAAGCTCCTATTTCGGCATCTCCACTGATTTGTTCTGGATAGTTGGGTTTGCTGGAGAAGCGACCAAGCAAACCTTGGTTTTCACAATGTTTGCTTCGGAGCAACTGCTTTTTTCACAGCGATACAAGGCGCCTTCAATATCTAGCCAGCCATAATCTCAATCTCGTGAGATAGATTGCTGCCTAAATCAAGCACTGGCCCCAAAGCGAGCACGCCACGCGTCTGCGGATCAAAGCTCTCCAAGATTACGAGCCCCCCCTAATTCCATACTAAATTACGACCCCCCTCCTAACACCTCTGTCCTTCGAGCGGGGCGCGGGGAGGAGTGTCGTCAGAATTAAACTATCAATTTCAAGTGTCGGAAACAGTACTGCGTCCCTAGTGGACTGACCAAGTATGACCCCCCCTCTCCCAAAAATGACCAAGTACGAACCCTCCCCCTTTTACAGCGTCCGTGAAAACAAGGAGAAATAAAAAAAAAAAATACTATCAAAAAAATTTCTCTCTGACTAAATACGACCCCTCCCCTCCTCGCGGTCAAATACGACCCCCCTCCCCTTGTGATGATCACAACGATGGCGTACCCTGGGGGGGGGGACCCCCCAAAAAAGAGGTAGATAGGACGACAATTTTGTATAAGAGTGTCACGTGAGGTACCTTCTGAGGTAATCAATCAATCAATCAGCTGTTTGACGTAAATGGGTCTGGAGCGTATCTGCGAAGTGTGGACCATGGGAAGAATTATTATGTAATTTTTAAATTGTATTTTATTGACATAAGAAAAAAAACACATTAGACAGATTCAGAACGTTCATATTTCAGGGCATGACACCGTCGGTATCGAATACATATTATGCATCGCTAGAAGCTCCTCCACTTACCACAGAAGTGCCGGAGGACAACGATGTGCTGCCCGAAACTGTCACTGATTCCGTTAAACGGGACGATGTTAGAAAACCGCGTAGGAAAGGTAAAGCTTTTCGAGCCTCCTGCAATCGTTCCGATCCACTTCAAGGGTTTAGCCACGGGGTCTACGAGCATAGCGAGAAGGGAAATCACGTGCAAAAAAAGGTTTCGTTACCCGCAGCGAATTTGTTGTCAAAAGCGTCACGATTTAAAATCACAATGGAGACGTGTCTAAATGAGCTTCCACTCCAAGTGAAGATTATGGAGTGCTGGGGCGGCTCTGCTCACACCTGTTTCCTCCCGGGTCGGCATCCTTTACTTTCGTTTGGTCTCGCCTTCTGCGGTTTGCTTATTGTAAATAAGTACATTGTTTTGAGACCGCACATGAAAACGTTGTCGTGAAAACACTGTATATTAGTTGATGTAGCTGTCAAACATGAAGCCAAAATTGCCTCGAACTAGCTCAATATTTTACTTCGAAAGACGCTAGCTATCATGTCAAACGTATTTATTTGATCACGGAATATTCTAGGCACGAATTTATACGGTCGTCCGTACTGCCCTGGCAGACCACTATCGATGGCCGAACGACGGCAAATTATCGACTTACATATGAGCGGTATGAAAGTGAACGCAATATCCAAAGCATTGTGCATTTCGCATGGTTGTGTCAGCAAAATTATCAGCAGGTATGATCTCGAGAGTACAGGGTTAGTTAGACACTGAAAAATAAGGCACAGTTGTTGATTTGACGTGGGCGCTTGTAATTACAGAAACCTCAAACATTTGAAGTGCTGATCATTTACAGGATGTCTTCGTCAGGGACACTTGCCCTAATTTTCGATCTTTAGAGCCACTATGACACTTTGACACTTTTGCACTGGTTTGAAGGCGTAATGTGAGTGAGTTCACAGGGTTGCAACACTCCCCAGCAATCCAATACCACCCTCCCCCTCCCACTGTGGTGGATTCCCAACGATGCTGTGCCCTACTCCCGGAGGTCTAGTACGCCCCGCTGATGTGTCCTGAACATAACATGATCCCATGACGCCCACAAAGGGGGGACTGTGAATTAAAGTCAATCCTTTGTGGGCGTCATGCTTATATACACTTCTTATCCTTGAGACGGAGTAGGCGTGGTATTTGGAAATTGCGTGGAATAGTCTCCTCGTGGGATGTTCCAGTTCAAGACAGGTTGTTCACTTCGTTCTGGTTGCGTACAGGTACATGAGCACAACTGTGTCAAAATGAAAACATCTTCCTTAAAGCACAGCCACCGCCACGTCTTGTTGGAGTACGCAGCCACGCCTACCACATCTCAGCGATTTCGAATGTACTTGTGAAGTAAGGGTTCACACATACTTGCGAGCTCATCAGCAGCTTTCCTTAACAACTTTTGCCAGAA